AGAAGTTCCGATCTTGTTTTAGGATATGACGAAGACATTCATTATATACATGAACAAATACATGTTACGCTTTGACGTACTATCTATAATGACAGTCTCCTTCGGTATCGGTGTTGGATCCAGAACCGTTGCAGCACTCAGCTTTTTAATGCATTCACTATCCGCCACCCTCCTGGGGTACACAGAAGGTCCAGAAGCTATGTAAGGAGGCTGTCTACCTTGCATAGCCTGATGCTGAGCGATCGAAAATCTAAGCGTAAATTACAATGACTTGTCCGCGACGCATTGACTACTGCTTTTATGACACGTTGCTTCGAGCCGATTTTCGATAAGATAACGTCAAATCATTATCAAAAAGAATATTACAATTGTCCTTTGTGATGGGAACACACATTGAAATAGGACCTCAATAGTCTTATCCAAAGCTCCTTAATAGTTCATAAGGCATTGGACCACCGTCGTGCATTTAGATCGCGTCGAGGAATGTCGAATCGCCACATTACCAGAACCATTTGATTCGATATACCACTAACCTACTGGGCGCATGCACACATTTGTGTGTGCAATCTGTTCACGCGCACAATCGTCACATCCCCGTTCTGCCATACGTCCTTGCATGCTTGCGCATACGCATCTTTTCGCGCGCACAGCATTCATGTGGACCATCGGATGTGCTCAAAGGTGGAGTTGGCGGGACTGCTTCCGTGGATTCTTTCTTTATATTAAGGCCTACGTGGATTCGTCCAGCATAATCCAGTCTGGAATGCGACATAGCGACTCATCTACAGTTGACAGTACATGGATTAGTCCTCGTCACGTGTGGGCATATTTGACCGCGCCAAGCTACGAATTCAGAGCTTTTCTAGACGTTGCCTCTAGGTTCTACATGATTAGCGTGAGCTAGATAGCAATTGCTTGATTCAACAGAGCCAATAATCCACGCTGCGCAATCTCCGAAAGTGGTAATATTCTGTGGTCCATGTCAGGGATGTAAAGCCCATTCTTGACGAGCGCAGACTTTCTATCTCAGTCAATTGACGGACTGGACTATCTCAGGACCATACAAACCTGTTTGCGTTCCTCGTTCGTCAACACGAACTCGAGATTACCTCAGCTCGATTGAAACGAACGAAGTCATCACGGCGAATGTCGTAAAAGTGCGACCTAAATGTGCAAGGCAAGAGCTGGGTCCACTGTCAAGTAGCCACATATAGCCCATATGTTACACCATTTACCACCGAAGACACGAATGGCTCATGCAAGCCTCCTGTCTTCGGACATTAGTCACGCTTTTGTCTCCCTTCATCACGTTCGACGCAATGAGTAGCACATTCACCTCCAAATCGATTGCCGCGTCCTTCATGACGCAGGTTTGACCGCGGCCGCACCAGTCGTAACGCCATTCTTGCACATCAAGTATTACTCCTCCGTTAAGTATCATAGACCACTTAGCCTGTCACGTAAGCTCTTACGGCGACCACGTATGGCATCACTATGTCCTAGCGCATGTCCTCTCGACGCGATATCGTCAGCACTTGTTATTGATTTTCCCTAATCGTGCTGCACTCGCGCCGCAGTTTGACATGGCCTCGTACAAGTCCACAAGACCACTTGCATCGATAATCGTGACAGCCGCAGCGCCATCACACTGCGACATCATTTCAAGCGAAATCACCGGATCCTTCTCTCCTCCACGTTGTTGTCAACCGGAGCGAGACGAGTGCATGCATTGCAAACTTAACGAACTGTCCTGTACGATTGCCGCCAAGCGTCATCACAAACACGTGCAATTGCCTACGATGCTGGGCACGAGATAAAGACTGAGCTTTCCATGTAATGCACGTGAACGGTTCACGTCATGCGTGGCCCACGACGTAGTTTTACCTCGAACCAGGACATGTGATTGAAGGGCCTCACAGTGGTGTACAGTGCCCTCAAATCGGTCGTCTTCCATTCTGATGTCGCGTGCTTCACCACGTCTGCTAGTTTCGTTTCGATACGATCGATCAACTCCTAACGCGAAAGTACGTACGATCGTTGTGCGCAGCCAGCTTCAGTTTGAATCGATATGCTCTATCTACACAATCGCACGGAGTTCGGCCTTCGCAGTCGGAATAGCCATCGGAACGTGAAAGACCTTTGTACTTTATTGTGTAGGGCAAAGTAGGATTACGGATCGCGTCGTGGACTACAGCTGACACCAAGTGGACGCCTCTCTCTTGCAACGCTGTTGCACAGCACATCAATTGATGCCGACGCTCATCGCTGTCTTCGACACGAGATCGACTTCGACATGTCAGTGAGTTAACACACTTCGACAATCCTTACGCAACTCGATCGTTCGAAGTATCTCGACGAGATGGCGTACTCGTGCAGAGCTGTTGAAGCACTTACTTTACGTTCAAACTACAGGATGCACCGTCGGACAAGTCGAGTCCTCACCCACTTTGTGTTGAAGAGAGAGCAACGGTCAGCGATGGCCTCACCACATCTGCTCCATAAACATTGCGACGGGATCCGTAGCGCGGGCAGAAACACCTGTCACCTGGACATAACGCGAACAGCGTACCTGATCACTTGAAATGTTCGACAATCCATGCCGCAGTAACAGGAAGTACCCGAATTCTCACAATCACGAACTTTGCTCTAGAAGAGCTTGTACAAGCTCTCGATCTCTCTCGGATCCTATGGACGCCGGCGGCGCGTTGGAGTCCTGACGATGTGTGACTTGCCGTAGCACATGGGGTTGCTGTTGTGATCATCAATGAGAACTGTTGATGCTTCAAGTTCCTTTGACGAGACGACGCAGCGCTACTCCGAGTAGAAGCCGATGGGCAGCATATGTGTCTGCGCCAACACGATAGCACTGTGGCCGCGATCATGACCTCGTTGGTTAGAGATACGCTATGCCCGCCAGTCGGGGCGATTCAACAGCCGAAGGCGTATGTGTGCATCGCCTTCTTAGCATCGTCAGTAGAAGTACAGACAATCTTCTGCTCTCCCTCCGTCTTCAATGGACATGGCCGTCCATTACGTCAGCTGATCCACCCACTACTTTGCCCATCACGTATGACCCGCCACTTGTCTAACGAGTATGCCAGCGTCTTTTTGGCAGGGTACATGAGGCAAAATTGAGGTCGTCGAATGGCGATCGATGCTGCAACTCGATGGCTTACAAAGGTATTGCACGTGATACATAGGCGACGTACGGCAGCAGCAGCCTCGACACAGGAAGACCGGGATCGTGGCAGTCGCGATGGTGCGGGCGCCAACCTGCCGCCAGGATCAGCACCAACTTCCACACCAAATCGTCACATGTATCCATACCACCACGCGTTTTGTGTGTGAGCTCCGCAAAATCGAGTCGAACGCTTCCACAATCGCACTCGTGTAGTCAGAGATGAGTCTGTTGTGTTGCCTTCGCACGGAGGGTATCAGCGCGTCGAAGACGTCCAGAACGGTCTAGAATGTTACCGAGGACCATCCACGCGACGCAGTCATGTCAAATCTTCGTTACATGCAACTCCAGCAGTGGTCGAACACCTGCAGTCGTTGACGTTCACTCCAGCTGCATCATTGTCGTCTCGTGTCGTCGCGACATCAATCCTATCGTCATTCCACACACGCGCCGCGATCCGTTGACATAGACAAGTAGCTATTCGCCTTGGCTACCAACATAGTGTATCATCCTCTGGTCATGGCATATCGCAGCGCACCTACAGTGCAATTTCTGGATGTGGTACTACTGCTTCAACAGCACATGCAGCAGCCATTACCAGAGCACTTGCGTGTCAAATGGACTGGTCAGCACTACCCAATTTGGACCCAAGCGCGACATCGTCCGGTGAGCCGAGAGAGAAAGAGAGACCTTCCAACATGTCAGTATACCGGCCTCTAACCCAGAGCAGTAAGTCCATCATAGTGTGGTCTGCTTACAGGTAGGGAAGGAAGCATTCGTTCCGCTGCGTGCGCCACGTGAGACAGCGCATCACGCGAACCGCAAGGGTACCCAGAAGCAACGCATCCTGAGGTGCGGGCCACGTTGACAGTGTATCAACCACCCTACACCCTGATACCAACTAGTCTCTGTTGTTTAATGTCGGAATCCATCAGCCTTCGAGCCGCCGACTTGTTCGCTAAGCGCTGATTTCGATCCCAGGAAGATAACTCGTCTGGAATGTGATCCTGTTCGATCGATCCAGTGCCGAATGTACCACCTGCCAGGGGCAAACATGGTTAATGAAGGGTTCGGCCGAAGTGGTAAGTTCTAACCGACTCTTTCGACCTCTGCGCCTTGAAATGCACCTTACGGAAGTTATCGATCACACGTGCCCCTTGCAGAGTACCTCCTGTGTCACCCAACGCCTTCCTCGAGCCAACAGAAAGAGCCAGCGAAGAGAAGAACGATGCAGTCATGGTAGAAGAAGACGCAGACCCGTTTTCAGTCAAACAGCTCCGACGAGTCAGAAGTGATTCAATGGACAGTCTGCCCGTTGTTCTCCTCCACATTCAACGCGCTGAACGACACACAAACCGGATATACGAGCTGTCCCGTAACGTAAACCCCGTGCATGATTCCATACAAGTCCTCGTAGCGAGTTTCGGCCTTCTTCGGAGGTCATACTCACGTACGACAAACTGCCTCTGCGATCACAGGTAAAGCTCAACCCCCTTCACTGCTCTCCTGTTACCAGAGAGCAACAACACATGGCTCCGTTAGATATAGCAAATCCAGCTCGGGGGCTCGAAGAGAGACATGCAAATCTTGCCACACGTGATGGATCAGCTTTTGCTCGTCACGAAAGAGGCCCGGCTTAACTCTGTTCCCACATTGGCTTTCCAGCTCCGGCTCGTCGTGCAGCCCACGTCACACTCGTCCATTCATCAACTTTCTCTGCTCCCTTACCATGCGTGCACGGTCCATAGTGCTGCTCTCTGTGCTCGCTCTCCTAACGAACAATGCTAAAGCTGAGGCCAATAAAGCACCTTCCAGACAGGAGATGCTCGCCGTCGCTGACCGTCCCAACCGCAATCTGCCGTCGGCTACTGCGTCTAGCGAGCTTTACCATCGGAGCGACGACAGCAAGCTGATCAAGAGCGACAAGGAGGAGCGTTCGCGTGTAGTCAGCGAAATGGCGAGCATTGCGGGAAACTTCAAGAGTCGGGGGACCCCAAGCGCGCTCGAAGCGAACCCGCTGAAAGGTGTGAAGCAATCGAAGAAATATTTGGTGCTCGCAAAGGAATTCTTGAGAGGCGAGAGTGCTTTCCCGCAGCTCTACAACGATAAGACGAAGACTCCGTATATGACCTTTACACGGCTGGGATTCGGCAAACTCTCGTCCGAAGAGAAGCAAGCAAACGAATTGTACCTCATCTGGGCAAAGTATTTCGATTACTGGGTAAACAGGAACCATCCAACAAGTCGCTAAATTTGCAATGCACGTGCCACGCATCCGTTCTTTGCACTTGACCCTGTTGCTCGTGTATGCGTCGTCTCGTTGGGCCTCACGCGCCAACCCATACTTTTGTCACGTGGCGTTCGCCTCGTTACAGCACTAGAAGTTGCCACAATTGATGTACGTATTGAAGTAGAAGCTAGTGTGCAGAAGCTTTCCCTAGATACACCCCACGCCCATCAAGGCTTGCTACCGGTCAAGGCCGTGGCTGGCTTTTGTTCTCTCTGCAGTTGCCACATGCGTATCTCTGAGCGTCTCCACTCGACAAACAGTATTGTGGCGGCCTAGCAATATTCATCAGACTCAACCCGTCGAGTCAGCACATCGGGTCGCCGAATGCCTACCGGCAGTATACTCCAAACAAACATGTTCCTCATGTGACCGGTTTACCTCGTGCGTCGATATAGAGCTTTGTCTCAGAGTATATTCGGTTACGAGTCGTCGACAAAAGACGTGCATTGCGTTGACATTCGACGGTCAATGAAGCCCAACACTTCCTACTACATTCCGCACGTAGCCTGTCGCAAACACTAGCTGTAGCGTCCTGCATTGTCAAATGGACCGACCAAATGACCATGGAAAGAGCATACGGGCAAGTCGTGATGGCCAATTCCGGTCAACAGCATGATTTGTGCGCTCACTCCACCCGCTTCTTGACGACAAACTGCACCGTTTCGCCCAGCTCGTTGTAGCCCATTTGTCGAGTGTGCATCAACACTTTTGCCAGCACGGGGATCTTGAAGATCAGAAAAGGGAACGAGAAGAGTCCGTACGCGGTGCGAATCCAGTAGAACAGTGCTCGACGCTGCCATGATTCGAACGGTAAGCAGAGCACAAGACCCGCTAGGGCCATCACCACGATGAAGGATACTGTCTCGTAGCCGCAGAACTTCATCAGGTAGCCACCACGATTCAAGTGCACTTCGTTACCAAATGCATCGCGTAGTACACTACGTTCCCGCAGCTCCATTGACTTTGTCTGATACGGCGTCGTCTCTTTTGGACGCTCCGTGTAAGGTAACCGAAGAAATGCCGCCCAGACGAGCAGAATCTGCAGCGCGAAAAAGCACGCTGTTCCTTCACTTAGCGCAGGCCCGCCTCCGTTTTGGCAGCTCAGCATAGAGCCTTGCACGGTACACGTCACGTACATAAAGACGCCAAATGTCATATGCATGATGCCCAGCGTGATAAAGTGCGCGGCCTTGAACCCCACAATGAACTCGCACAACTGGTGTTCGTTCGTTTTGTCCTTTATGACGAACAGGAAGATCCACCACAACTGGCCAACCACAGGAAGAAGACCCACACTAGTGTATGCAATCCACCATGGATCCCTAAGCGATCGCCAGATAGTCTTATCATGCGGGAACAGGTGATGCAGAATGTGCGCGCGAAGGCATCGGAAGAAGTGGAACCTGTGGCTTGCAGCAACAAATTCACACGCGTCTCCTTGCCCTCGCTGCAAAGCCCCCTCGCCTCGGTTGTTCAAACCACTTGTCTCCACTTGATTCGCCTGTACACCTTGACCAAACAATTCGCGTGTTTTGCGAAAGATCTCCATCTTGACGTCCGGCATAAACTGCTGAATGCCAATATCAATGTTCGTCTACATTGCAGACGTCAGCATACATCGTACGACATCCGATGCCCCACCAACACTATCATCTTCTCGACTTACCTTGAGATACTCTGGCATATCTGGATCTTTCAGCGTCTGTTGCAACTTTCCTGCAACAATATCCAGTGCACTTTCCAGCACTTTCCGCACTGTACGATGCATGGCTAGCTGGACTTCGTCCTTCGTGTCTTTTGCAATGTGGTTCAACCGTTTGCCCGTGGACACGATCATCGTGCTCGTGCTGTCGACAAGGCCGCTCCAAGCCGTGCCGCCGTGCTCAGCTGCCTCCGCCGCTTTCTCTGCAGCTTCGAGGACTTGTTTTTCGGGAAAAGTGTCGGGAAACACGCGCGTGTACTCCAGCGCAAAGTCTTGCACATCCTTCATGACAATCACTTGGTCGTCCTCATCCCGCCTGTCGTCCCGTTTTGTGTCCAGTGATGCCCTCGAGCGGCACTTGCCTCGTCGATGCGTGCAACAATCCTTAGGGTGCTTTTTCGTACTCAAATTGCGCCAAAAGCGTTGGATTTCCACGCGTTGGGCGGTCGACAAGTGCGACATGTGCTCAATCGCGTCAAAGAAGCGCTTGGCGCTCACGGACCGCTCGGCCGACTCGGTCTTCTTGTCTTTGATCTGCTCGCGCTCCTGCAAGAACGAGAACACCAGCACACTCACGGACATGGCCACGGCACCGTACAGCACGCGCGCGCGCAAGAGCGACTCGAGCATCTCGTCGCGAAGGGATCGAGCCGTCGTCTCGCACCGACTGTTGACACAATGGTGTCGACCACATGAACCGATGGTGTCGACCACATGAACCAATGGTGTCGACCACATAAAACGATGACGTCGACCACATGAATCAATGGTGTCGACCACATAAAACGATGACGTCGACCACATGAATCAATGGTGTCGACCACATAAACCAATGGTGTCGACCACATGGAACGATGGTGTCGACCACACGAACCAACGACGACGACATGTGTGAGGTGGGACACGTACATTCAGGTCCACTCGGATCAGCGACTGCGAAGGTTGTGATTGTGTGTGTACCACACAATACACGCTCACATGTGCACATTATCACTTGACGCGATTGTATCATGGCCGAGAAAGTTGAGCTGCTCGTGGCCCGCGCGACGGACGAGGCGCTTGTCGAGCCCGAGTGGGCGCTGAATATGGCGCTCTGTGACTGTGTGAATGCGACGCCCGAAGTTTGTGAAGATGTGGTGCGTTTCTTGCAGCAGCGACTGCAGACCCGTCAGCCAAAAGTCGCGCTCTTGGCACTCATTCTGACCGAAACGCTCGTGAAGAACGGACCGCGCGCGCTGCATACGCAAGTGGGTACAAAGCGGTTCCTCGAGGACATTGTCGCGCTCGTCGACGGAAGTCTTGGACCGGACGTGCAGACCCAAGCGCTGCTGTTGATTCGCCAGTGGGCCGACGCGTTTCAAGGTCAGAGCGAGCTGTCGAGTTTTCAGGACGTGTATCAGCAGCTAAAGCAGGCAAACACGACGTTTCCCGCAGTGGAAAACGACGTGCCGATCTTTACACCGCCTTCGTCTGCGACATCGGCGTGGGCTACGGGTGGAGGGGACGAGAGCGCTGCTGCTGGTGGGACGTCGGGGAGACGCACGAGAGAGCAGCAACTGGAGAAACTGCAAGCTGATTTAGGTGTGGTACAAGAGAAAATGAAGATGTTGAGGGACTTGCATGCGGATGGACGTCACGGTGAGGAGATGGAAGATGCACTGGATTTCCTCCGTCAGTGCCAGCAGAGGATGAACACGCTGATTGAAGGTGGAGTCATGGGCAAGATTGACGAACACACGCTCGAACAGTGTCTCACTGTACGTGAAAAAAAAACGAGACTGTCCTTTTGTCGGATTGATCGGCATGGCAGGCTGACGGTTTGTGGTGGCGTTGTGATACACAGGTGAACGACAACTTGATGAAGACACTGAAAGAGTGCAGCAAGCCAGAGATGAAGGACATGATGACGTTTGACTCGCCTCCACGTGCGAGCCAAGCGTCGGAGCTATTGCAAGGAGTCGACCAGCTGAACTTGGATGAAGAAGGCAAGGCGGTGGGGCTAGTAGCTACAGCACCACGGTCCATGCCTGCTGCACACTCGATGTCCGCCGTTATGGATGGTGAGGGTGTGTTGTCGACGATGTCTTGCGACGACAAGCTGTCTCGGAATGAGCCCTCGTAGACGGATTGCCTCGTAGATTGATTGTAGTTGCTGCGATGACTGACAGTTTCGTAAAGGACGACCGGCGAATCCGTCGACCGCTGACACCAGTAAGAAGGAATATGCACGAACCGACAACAAGTTTGTCTGCAGTGCCGTGGTCCGTAGATGTAGCTTCAACTTGTGAAAGTATCAGATGGCTGCTGAGTTGCGTGACCCCCTCCTTGTATTACCAGCAGACGTCAGAGCAAAGAATGATCCCAGCTGTGTGGAAGTCCTTATGAAGATTTGCTGGAAACGGTCCGTAGGTGATATCGACTCTAGAACAGCGCCATTGTCACGTGGCGCCGAGCACATTCTTGACTTGTTGGAACTGCAATCAACAAATCCATGCACACGCAACTGTTGAAGCTTCTCTCACCTACCGCAGCGAGCGAAGAAGACCACAAGTAGGACAGTTGATGTCTACTACAGTACGATGCAAGTGCCGGTGTTCTCGATCAAGACATGGTCTTGTGATACGTATTGCGTCTAGTACGTTGAGCAGCTTTGCTTGGACCTTATCATGGCGACACAGTCGTGTTCAGCGACAACTCTCGAAGGGTCCCTTCACATGAAACTTTCCTAGATTGCCGCAGAAAACTCGACGAGCACGTGTACAAAACACAGCACGAGCAGCTCAGCAACCTGCTCATGCTGTGTTTTGTACACGTGCAAGAGTGATGACGTGGTCGACAATGTGGCTTACAGCTACGAACTTATTGAACATGACTGCTGATTCCTATTCTCCGTCACTTCGTCAAAGGCATACGAACGTGATGCTGACGGGAACGCCAACTTTGCTGCTGCTCAGTATCGGTCTGGATACGAACACGATACCCATAGCTGGTATCGGTATATTTATCGACTTGTTCCTATTGTACGTTTTTGTGTCCTTCATCGCACGCCTCAACCTCCGGCGATGAACAATGGAAGCTGGACGGCCTCAGCTATCAACGACTGACTACTCCCTCTCTTACTAAATAACAAAACGCGTGTGTGCGGAACGCAGCGCTACGCTGGTCGCGGGTACTTGACATACTTGCCAACGAGACTCACAAAGACGGGAGAAGCTACTACCTCAGCCGAGTTGCTTACCACCCAACAGTCATCGAACCAACGTCGTCGTCCGAATCCTCTTCGTGATTCATCAAACCCAACGCCTCGCGGAACACGTGCACGGCGCTGTCGTGGTCGCCCTTCGAGTGCAAGATCCTGCCGAGCATCGATAGCGGTGCGTAGTTCTTAGGAGCAAGCGCCAGTGCGCGCCGGACAGCAATCTCCGCATCGTAAAACTCGCCAGCGCCATGGAGCGCACGCGCCAGGTTGATCCACACATCCACGTTTTTACGGTTACTCGCAACGGACTTGCGAAACTCGGCGACAGCACTGGTGAAGTCGCCGCGATCGAGGTACACTTTTCCCAGATAATTGCATGTCTCGGCAACATCCACTGCCTTGTCCTCAATCAGCTCGATCTTCCTTTCGTCCTGAGCCAAAACCCGACAATCGACGTCTTGAACGCTATCACAATCGTCCTGGTGCTCCGTGTCGTGGTCGTGATCCTCGTCCACTCCTTCATCTTCGCCACACGAGATGCGATTGATGTCGTAAGTCCGATTGTCGCGAAGCTCGGCCATGCTTCCCTCCACTACGCCACGCTCCTTCTTCGCTTCAGCAGCCATGCGAGTTGCATTTTCGAGCTTCTTTTCCATGCGAGATTTTGCCAGCGTCAGCTCCTGCACGTGGGACTCTAGCTCGCGCACTTGTTCCTGCATATCTTGATACTTCTCATTCGAGTCCACGTCCGTCCAAGCACGCACTCGACCCTGCGACGCATCGTCTTCGAACGGCAAAGCAGTCGTCAAGGTCGGGTCATGGTCATTGTTGCTCGTGCCCGTCGAGCTTCTGTCGTCCGGATACGTCACGTGCTGAGTCGCAAACGTGCTGTTGGAAGTGCGAGGGTAGCACTCGCCATCGGACGGGCTCCGAAACGCCGAGTCGCGGCTACTGGACGACGTATTCGTCAGCGACACCGTACTATTGACCGACCGCAAAGGCGGTCGTCTCGAAGCTTTCTGGTGGTCCAGCAGGGGTCCAAACTCCTGTTCCATCATGTTGGACTCCATCGATGGCAAGCCATTATGCCGTCCATGGCCGTACATGTTCACGACGGCCGAAGGCGCGCCATTCTCCCGCAAATCGTCGTAGCACAGAATACACACGCGCTGGGGTGCCTTGAGGCCCAAGTGATGCAGCGGCAGGCGCTTGTTCGAGTGCGTGCTGCACACGGACTCGCCACACGAGCGGCAGTGGTGACGCGTCTTGAAGTAACTGAACTTGAGCTGACAAATGTTGCACCGCTTGTCCAGTCGCCACCGCGGCGGCAACGGGATCCCTGCAAGTCCATCGGGCAGGCGGGAAGCCGCGCCGCGACCAGCAGCAGCTGCAGCAGTAGAGTTGCTATGCGTCCAATCATCGTCGAGTCCGCCACCCCCTTCCCTACTGCTCGTGTTGCTGTTCCGGAGCCCAGCGGGAAGGCTGCGAAAGCTACTGACACTCGCTGTCTCGTCTGCGGACGACGACGGCAGCTGGAACAACCCGCCCGGCTGGTTCAAAAACGCCTGAAACCGAGCGCTTGGGCGGTCCGGCGCTTTGCCTTCGGCGCGCAGGTGCGCCTCCATGTCGATGAAAAACTGCACCTTGTCGTCCGTGAGCTGGTACGTTCGAGCCAGTTCGGCCGGCGTCTCGCCCGTGGGCGTCTCTTCGAACAGACACGCGGCCACGTCGGGCGCAGCCTGTACCAGTGCCCGCAGCACTTCGAGCCGCGTGGCAGCTTTGACGGCAATGTGCAGCGGCAAGAGCCCGCCCTTGTTCTTGTGGCTGAGCGCTGCGGGCGCCACGTCCACGAGCTTCTTGACCACGCGCAGCGGCACGTGCGTGTCCGTGCACGCCCAGTGCAGCGGCATCATGCCAAAGTCGTCCATGTCGTCTGCGTGCTCGGGCGCGGCGGTCACGAGGCGGTCGAGCGCGCTCCACTCGCTCGACTCGGCGAGCTCCAGCACGGACTTGACGTCGCTCGAGGCTTTGGCCTTCATGGGGACACTAGAGCGATGCGCTGCGAGTGGGTATATGTGGCGTCTGTCTGTCTGTCTGTCTGTCTGTCTGCCCGTCTGTCTGCCCGTCTGTCTGTTTGTGTGTTTGTTTGTTTACCTACGAGGCACGTACGCACGCCGTGGGGGTGGGGGTGTAGGGGCTGTGGGGGATGTGGGGGGCTGTAGGGGCTGTGGGGGTGTGGGGGATGTGGGGGGGAGGACTCGTGTGGTGGTGGGGTACGTATCGATAGATCTTGCTGAATGTATGGGTCTATCTTTAGGTGCGCACACACACACACACAACACACGCGCACGCAGTTGCGTCTCGCTGACAATAGTCGGAAAACGAGAAATCACCTGTGCGGTCGGCGGTACGTTTAGTTGTGAGACCGTCACGAGAGTCGCGCGCGGCTTGCGACGAGGAGGGAGAGGCGAGCAGGAGTGATGGTCCGTCGGCTGCACCTGGCCCGTCTGCTGTTCAGCCGCCAGACTGGACGTTTTTATGCCCTTGCGCGCGCAGAGACGCTGCGACGGACGCATGTACGTACGTACGTACGTACAGTACACCACGTCGCGGCAGCCCACGTACGTGGAGTAGTCGGAGGCGCAGTAGAGGTACACACACACGCACACATGGGCACACTGCAGTGACGGCGCTTCTTTGCCGACGCGGCGCGCGTGCTCTGCGTTTTTGTGCAGCTGCTGACGCACGAAAATTCGACGCGCGGTCGGCCCAAGCGGCAGTGGGGACGACTACTGCTACGGTACTACTGAATGGAGACGTCGGCACGAGTGAGAGAGAGTGCGTCAGTGTGTATGCGCGCGTGTTCTTTTTTTTGTCTCGCCTGCTTGAGGCGTCGACTGGCGAGCGCACCGTGCAACGTGTTGCGTCACTCACCCGCTGTGAAAGAAAGCTCAACGTGGTGCACTCTCGAGTCCCTTCGTTTGGCAGCCGCAACCTCAATGACTGACGAAAGTCGTGGCAACTCACTTCCAAGTTGAAGCGCGGGGCGAAGTGGGGTGCGCTCGCGACAGCGTCGCTCTGGTCGGTAGTGGCGACGATCGATCGGTCCGGATCGGATCGGCCGTGGTAAAAAAAAGAGGAAGCACAGGACCGAAAGCGAGCGCAGGGGCGGGCGGGCGGGCGGCGAGTGCGTCGACTCTTGAATCAACGGATTGGTCTCGTGCTCGGCTCGGATCCCCGCTCCGCTCTCCTCGTGCGTGCCCGCAGCCTCCTCCTGTCCTTCCAAAACCGAAGTCGACGGTTCCCGTCCGTCTCATCTTTTACCTGCCAGGCGGCGTCACGTCTTGCGGCTGGAGCAAGAGCCGCGAAACTCAGACGCGGGCAGCTCGTTCGTTGCAAATCATCGACTTGATGTGTCCCGTTTCACGCGGGCTTTTCAAGAGAACGTTTGCCACGATGGGCACGCGGCGGCAGCTGGGGACCTAGAAGACGGGCGACACTACGTGCTTTTCGTAGACACTACCAGTAGTGCACTACGACATGGCGCACGCACGCACGCACGTCAGTAGTAGACCGACCGACCGACTGACTGACAGACTGACCGACTACGCGGAAAAAGGTACTTGCGTCGAGAAAAAAGAGGACAGACTGATGACGCGCACGTCATCTACAATTACGGACGGCGCGCGGCTCCACGCCCGGCGCGCCATTCGGTGTTATTCCTCGATAGTCGCGCGCTGCTCGCTCGTCGACACGAGAAATGACCCGCCGCGTCGAGCCTCCAGACGCCGCGACAGCTGCTACGAACATTCTTTCGGACATTAGCAACACGCCAAGAGCCGGAACGTAGCAGGTAAGCGAACACCACCAGCGCGCCGTCGCGCCTGACACTACCGGTCTCGCACCACGGCCACCACAAGTGGTTCCATTACCCACCAACAGCAGAGTATGGCGCCCCGACTCGACGAAACCACCGGCTGTCAGCTGCACCATACCATGCTGTACTGTACTCGCCCGAGTCCATTGCTACTCCAGTTCCTTGACAACGACCTTTTCTCGAATGTTCGTATGGGGCACGGCACCTTCTTTCGCATGCGCGCGGCGGTTCGCCATCTTCTTCTGGTCACGCGCACTGGCCTCACGTTTGGCGTGTGCAGCTTTCTTGATGGCCTTGGGGACGTGTCGATGTCTGTCGATTGGTCACGCAACACACCGTGCAACAACACAAGTTTTAGACTCCGTACGGCGAAACCCCTTTTTCTTCGTCCATAGCAGCAGCGGCAGCAGCAGTAAGAGCAGCAGGTACTGCGGCAAGATGCAACGTACTTGGCAATACGGCTGATCTCCCGAAGATGCTCGTAGCGTTCTTTCAGGGACTCGTTGTACTCCATCTTGCGGCGCTCGCGTGGCCCGACCTGGTTCACGAGACGATGACGTTGGTGCACAAAGGTAGGAAAGGTATCAGAACCTAAAACCGAAGGACATGGCACGAAACGGCCGACACGAAGCGTCCACAGCGCATCGATAAGTTGCGACGAGGTGGACAGACGTACCTTGGAGAGTTTCTTCGCTGCTTCGGCCTTCCAGATGCGAATGTTCGTGTCGTCACTTCCAGACAGCACAAAGTTCGCGTCCGCGCTGAACTTGACCGAGAAGATGCTGTAGGGAAGCCACAAACGTCAAAAGCACACGAGCAGTTCAGTGAGCAACTCATGGATAGCACAGCACATCATCATGTACAAAGAAACCAGTCTTTTGGCAGCGGTTGCAGCTAGCGGTTCCACGTCGACCCATGGACGCTAACGTCCACGTTATGTTTACAGCAGCGAAACGGCCGCATGCAATGCCCGTTTTGACAGGGGTGGAAACGCGTGCCCGCAACGACTCACTGCCAGTCAGAAAGGCTGCTTGCTTGCACACGCACCGCTGCATTCGCTGGGTATGGTACACTTCACGGCTTTTCGTCGCGCGCACGTTGAAGATACGAATCGTCCGATCGTACGATCCTGCCACGAATTCTCGACCCGTCGGAGAGTACGCCACGTCCATTCTATGCAAAAGAACGAGCACAAGCGTAATCACGCACACCCCGTCACGTTAGACTACGATCGACACGGTGGTGCGTAATCAACTTGATAGTGCAAAAAGACGCACACTGCCGAGACATGATCCTTGTGCACCATCATAGCACGGTCCATCTTGCGCATGTCGAACGTGTACAGGTTGTGATTCTCGTTGGCCTGTAAACAATCATCAAGTGGTGCAAACGACACTGCTTCGTGAGGTCGTGCTTGTAGACGAGCCTGGTGACAACAAAGTAGCAAGCACAGTGGTCGTCACTGCGCTGCAATACGATCGGTACTTACGACTGTGAAGTTCATGGGCTCCATGGGGTTCCACGCGAGCGCGTTCGAGCGCATCTCCATGACGACTTTGCGCATGGACGACGCCACGCGAATGTCGTACAATGTGACATTGCGGTCCGATCCTGTCGACGCTAGGAGTGACGCTTCTGCGGGGTTAAAGTGGACGGAATTGATCGAGTCGGCGCCCCACGCGAACTCGTGCGTGGGCGTTGAACGCGACGGGTCCCACACTTGCACCTTGGAGCCGCACGTGGCAAATAGCTTCTGCGACCAGTGATGGTCAATGCCGCTATCACACCATACGCAAAAAAAAGAAAAGCGTCAAGACACGTCCATCTATGGTCCTCTGTGAGTGCATGCAGTGCACCTACAGGAAGGGTTCCTTGGAAGTGAACGTGGCCAATGCCGTCGGGACGTCCTCGTCCTCGCTCTTTACACGCAGCGCCCATTGCTTGACGGTCTTGTCCTCACTGCACGAGTAAAATGTGTGCCCGTCCGGTGCTACGGCCAGACCACGCACAAAGCCGCGATGGCCGTACACGTTCCACACGCATTTCCGTCGAGGCAGGTCCCACACGCGCACTTCGCCGTCTGCAGCGCCACTCACGAGCGCTACGAGACTCGACGGAGTCGTCGCTAAGGCCGTGACACCATCGCAATGGCCATCCAGCGCTCCAACAAAGGGCTTGGCAAACATGCGCTCTTGTTTCACGGCATTCAGCGCACGAGTGTACTCGCGCGGACGCTCGAACGGATGAAGCGCGGGGTCGTAATTGCGGAACACCTTGAGCTTGTCGGACTGGACCTCCTGCGTGAAGTCTTTCTCGACCCGGGAGATGGTCTGGACCCGCATGGCACAGGATCACAGAGGCAGTAACGACAGACAGCTGCAACAACGCGATGGCGTAATTGAGCTCTTCACTGGTCACCGTCGACTGGAAGGCGGCCGTGCAGTGATTGGTCAATATATATATATTTTGGAAGAACCCAATTCGGTGCATAGTCAGTGCAGGTCTGTAGTACCTAAATTTTGCATTCCTTGTGTTTCTCCCCACCAGCGACTCGGAGCGTTGCGAAAGGAGCGGTCTCCATCGAGATGGTGCCACAGTTAGTACTGATTTAGCGTCCATGAAGCCCGAGCTAATCACGTCAGCTTCCTTCCGCCTCCTTTACGGCTGACGATGGCGGTCCAGTTAGGCCCTCACGTGCTTCAGGAGTTGCCCCTTCACTCATCGAGGATTAACGTTTCGAGGCCACGACGACAGGATTTCAGATAGCCTCACCCGCGTGTAGATGTATTACGTCAATCGCTTCGCTCTTCTATTCGACACGCATGCATCCATTGAAGATTCGCCGATCGAAGCCGTCTGTGCCATTGCTTGCATGCTTTTGTGTGCCGTATTCGAGAGAGGATACGCACTGCCACCAATACTGGCTTCGATGCCATTGCGTTCTGTGCACCAAGTTGGTCTTGTCAGGTGGTGTGACTAGCGGAAAGCAAACACGATTACAATCGTGATGTGTGTCTTTGTTGGAGACCATCCCATTCGGCGAAAGCAGCACACGCAGGAATCTCTCCCTCTCTATGCCCTTTTCTGATTGATTCGATCACGTCTTTGTCGCTTAACAGCAACAAGTAGCAACGACACGGAGACCGCAACGCTGCAACAGCACGAGACAGTTCCTCGCCGCTTTCGTAGCAACACGTGCGCGAATTGTCTCGGGTGACACTCCCTCACCAAGAGCCGTCGTCTTTACAGCCACGCGCTCGAAGACAGAGTCTGATTGTTCATCATGTTGAGGTTGACTGCACGTGAAAGCACGCGTTTGCGTAAACGAACGGGACTAGAGGCGATCAATGGCCCCTTGGTTGTCGTAATCCAATCGGCGAAACGCAACTGCCCTCGAGATGGAAGGCAAGACTGGGCGCGCCACGCAGTGATTTCGAGCGGGGACACGACGAGGGACCTGGACGTAATCGATTCAGTGCGTGTCAGTGCGCGTTCGGCACACGCTGTTCGAACAGGCTCAGCTGCTGTGTCGACGAAGGTGTTTCAGCCCTCGACTTTACATGACCTTCGATCTCGGAGGAGACCGACTTGGATCGGCCATGCACGAAAGCCGGCTGAAGGATCTTTGAACGTGTGCCGAGCACGCACTTACTTGCGCATACGATTGTGATGGTCGAGACCAACCACCTCGAGCCATACTGGCGCTAATGCCCATCAGCGGCTCGTTGTGGCGTCGAGCAGACATCGGCGCACAATAGTTGGGGAATGTGACGGTCGGCAAAGATGGACAGTGCACCCCGGCGGGCGGGCGGGCGGGAGACTGTCGACACATCAAGAGAAAAGCCAGTGCTCGACGGTCCCGCCGCCAGACATCCTGGGTACGTTGTGGCCGCCCATCACGCCGGGCGAGTGAGTATTAGCTTTGACAGTGATCGGGTAGTCGTGCCATTTCGTTTGTGATTCGGGATCGTTTCTAAATCTCACTGTCTCCACCGAAATTGTGACGATAAGGGGGATGTGAAGCGACGACCGCGGGGCCGAATAGAGTGCTGTAAGTTAGCGCTCGACTTTGCTTTCGTATCTCTGCCAAGATACTCGTCTGTCGCAAAGGGACGCGAGTGAGGACGATACCTGAAAAGAGAGCTATCCTGTGTCGCTAAGGGTTCCAGGGACTTGAGTATCCATAGCGTTGTGCTTGAGAGTCCGAAGTCGTCCATTGTTGAGGACGATAGTGTAGGTAGAGGTTGCCACAAAGGTGACTTGCCGTTCCAGGGAGGGGAAGACGCCATTTACTATTTCCCCTACTCATTCTAATCCATCAAGTATCGTGACGGGCCACCTTCCGAAATGACGTCACACTTGGCGAAGAGTACATTGCACGCCAATTTCATCACACTTACAAGTATCGTGTCCGGTTTCTGAGGCTAATGTGATGTCATCGGGTGGGAATATGATCCTAGCATACCATGTGATCACAAGCCGCTCAGACTACTCGCGAGTCGCGACGACGTTGCTCCAGCACGTCACCTGTAATAATGCCAATCGACATTGCTCGATCAGAAGTCGAACATTGTAATCATGTCGAATAGGGAATTCATGACAACTGCATGAAGAGGTGGGCGGGCAAGCGAGCGCGGTCGATGTCGCTAAAGTATCGAAAAACGTTTGATTTGGGTTCAGGACATTCTCACTCGCTACCAATAGCCGAGCAACGTAAGCTCGAGCAACGCCAAAGCTTTGGCCGTGTGTTGACTATCTGTGCCCATCACCATCCGTCGTGTCCTTTTCGCAGATCTACATCAGTGGCGAGCTGGAACTTTGACGGCCGTAGCCAATTGTCCGCTCGCCGTGAGAAAAAGAGCTCTTCTGGACATTGACCTATGTATGACCTTCAACGATAAACCACCAGAAACTCCCGACTCCTCGTCAATCGCCTTCACGGTCATTGACACGCAACATGGCAGTATCTTGATATGTAGTCCTTGTGGCCCCTTTCACTCTTGTACGTTACGTCCGCCGCGCTCTTGCAAGCACGCTCAGCACACCAAAGCATCCGACAGGTACTTCACTTCCGATCGGTTCAACACGAGCCGCACAGACTGCAAGTCGGAAGCCGAGTGCCGGCCAAGCTTCACGCGTCCCAAGAACACGGGTGGACGCACTACCTTCGGCGGCTGCCAGCCAAACACGTTTTCGCCACGCGTGATGGCGTTCGTCACCTCGTCGCCCCATCCATCGTCACGCGCTGCGGCGCCAACGCGTTCACGAAGGGCTGCCAGGTCTCGCTGGAGGCGCGACTGCTTCAATTTCTCCACCGTGACTTGAGCGTGTGCAGACGAACCAGAGGGAAGAGCAGCTTGCTTGAGATCGACCAGACGCGGCATCGACAGCTGAGCCTTCACATGCCGCGAGAACGCAGCCACCTCCGTCAGCGACCTTGTCAAACGATCCGACTCTTTTGGCGGCGACAACGGCCGCGTGTTTGGACCAGCACTCGATCCTAGCAACCTCTCCAATCGCTCCTTTGCGAGTGTAGAGCGTACCCTGTGCAGCTCCATGTACAGTTGATGGAAAGCGCGCTGGAAAGCTTCAGCATCGATTGCACTTGGCGCCGACCCTTTCGTGACCACATTGCTCTCACCTCCATCCTTTGCAGCACTTGTGCGCTTTAGTTGCTTGCGCAGGTCTCGGTTCAACGAGCTCAATAACGTCTTCTCCTTGTTCGACTCGTCCAGCGCAACAACAAACTGCTCGCGTTCCTTCGATAGCTGCGATTCCAGTCGTGCCTTCTCGCTTATCGCTGCAGCCGTGCCCTCAGTCAACTGCAGCACTTGACTTTCCAGCTTCTGCGCTACCACACGGTGCTGACTGTCCGCACGCTCGAATTCGCGAATGCGCTGATGCAACGTGTTGCACAGCTCTGTCATTTGTGCCAAGTTGCTTCGAAGTGCTGACGCGTCTACCAGCTCTTGATGAATAGCTTGCGCTCGGATACGCCACTGCGGACGCCCGTTGGCGCTATACGTGTGCTCGTGACGAAGACGAGGAGCCACTGCATCAGTGAAGGCGCCACGACACACCAGCTTATACAGCATAGCCAGCTTCTCCTTGAACGCCACGACGTGGTCGTATACGCCCTGCTGCATAAATTGCACTAGCTCTTCTACTGGCTTGCCATGCGCTGATGGACCGTCTTGGTCAAGATGTGACTGCAGTGCAGCTAGCAACGACTGTGCCTCAGTTGCGTAAGTATGAATGGAAGCCACCACTTCACCACCCGCTGCCACGAGTCCATCAAGGTCATCGTCCGAGGCCGCCAGGTCAATCTCTGCACGGCGATAGAGCAGCTGTGCGACATTCAGTAGTGAGAGCAGCTCCCCCAGACACTTGTCTAGCACCGGCGTCAAGTCTGTGCGCAGTATACTCGCTTGCTCTTCATCGGACGGCTCAGCACTTGCCAGCACACTCTTCGTGGTGCGCAAGACAGTCACCATCGATGAGATCGAAAACGCCAGCTTGGCCACGCTCTTTCTCGCACGCAGCTTCACTACTGCACAGCGGGCACCAAAGCTCTCAGCACCCGTAGCTGCATGCACCTGGACAGCTCGGCCGCTGTGCCATTCCTCTGCAGTTTGGAAGAGACGGTCATACAACGAAGCAGCGTCGCCACCATTGCGGGAGCCATTCAAAAAGGCGCCCTCCGCAAAAGCCGAAAGCGCAGAGTCCAGCACACTCTCCAATGTCGCTGTCTGTGAGGTGTCGAGCGCCGAGCAGCCCTCGGCAAATTCATCTTCCGTAGTCAGGTGACACTCCAGCATGAACAGGTCTTCTTTTGCTTGGCACGAGACCGCCGCCAGCCTGTCACCCAAGATCAAGTGCTCGACACAGACTACCGTGCCAGATACACTCGCATCCTTCTCGTCCTCTTGCGGGTCACTAGAAGATTGCTGTTGTGCGGCTGAGTCCAACTCCTTCTTCATGTGGTGCAGCAATACATCGACCTTACCAGCGATACGTCCAAGCGTCAATCGGACGCGAAGTACCATTTGGTCAGCCTCGGAGAAAATTGCGGTCGGCACCACAGCACGCAAAAACGATATCTCCAGCCTTGCCTGATCAGAAATGATCTTCTGCTTCGCTGCCTCGATCTCGTGCTCGCGGGCCGTTGCTACCAGTGTGCGCAGCCCCATCGTTTGGTTGAGCGCCAGATGGGCCGTGTCCTTCAGCGACTCCACAGCACCAGTCTCATCACGAAGCTTTGCCTTCAGCTGCGCAATCTCTTCCCGGTGACTGTGCGCAAGGTCACGGAAGCGAGCAATGGTGCGCTCCTTGTCCTCGCAAACGATCTTCTGATTCAATGCCGCCTGTTTCAGTTCCTGCAGCGCTACACGCTGCGAGTCAATCTCGTCTCGCAGCTCCGCTTCATACTCCGTATGCTGATGTTCCATCTCCTGATCGACTTCGCGCAATGACTCAAGCGACTGCACAGTGGTCTCTAGCTCAGCAAGCTTCTCGCCCAAAGTCAAGTTTTTTTCCGTAAGGTCTTCCACCATCGATTCGTACGCGTTCGCAACGTCCAGCATCTCCTTCAGCTCTTCCGCTTCGCTTTCTAGCTTCTGTTTCTTCGCCGTCTATACATCAAGGTAACGAACACGCATCAGCACAAATCGAATCTCAGCACCAATTTGATCTCGCTACAAGCACATATAGCATCACGTACCAGCTCTTCGACTTCCTCTCTCAGCGACCCGAGTTCAGCATTCTCACGCTGGGCATGTCGCAACTTCTTGCTCAGCTCAGCCTTGTCCTCCGACCCACGCTCGTGGAGCATCTTTACAGCTGCTCGGAGCTTCTGGTTTTCGTCTGCCAAGTCTCCGGCGCCGGCAGAACTTGGCTCGGAGTCGTCAGGTCCTGTCGTCGCCGACAGCGCCATTGCAGCTTTGAGTTTCTCTACTTCCTGCTGCAGCTCTTCAGCATGCTCTTCCGCGATTTCCTTGTCCATCTCGACGGTCTCTCGCTCCAACGTCACCATCTCAATCATATCCTGCAACTCGGCCACCTGTTTCGTAAGCGTTTCCACCTTGCGCGCACTCGAGCTCGACTTGGCTACAGCCATTGCCACTTCCTCTGCCCTCTTCTGCTCAGCAACCGTAAATGCTGCAATCCGCGCCTTCTGCTGCGCTACTTCTGCCTCGAACGTGCCCACTTGTGAAGCTTGCGTCGCATTCTCACGCTGCAGCTCATCTAGCTGTTTCTGCAGCTGACCGATGTGATCTTCCAACTCGGTACGCACCCCGCGCACGTGCTTCTCTGCCTCTTCTCGAATGAGCTCAATCTCATGCACCCGCTCTTCCTGCATCAATGACGGCGACGCCGATAGCCTCATCTGTACATCGCTTTTCCGCTCAGTGTCGAAACTGTTCTCCGCCATCGTCTCGTCTCCGTCTGCATCCACTCGTTCATTGAGTTTTCCAGTCACTAGCGTCTCTTCTCCCTGTTGCTCCATGATCGAGTCTGGTGTCTTGTCACTAGTGCCTGCCACAGCGGCCGCCTCCTTCAGCACTGCCACACTCTGTCGCAGCTGCTCGAGCTGTCGGTCCTTCTGCTCCAGCGCCTCTTCCAGCTGCGCAATTTGCGCGGCAGCTGCTGCCGCCAAGTGATCGTCCATCTTGGCTACGCTTCCCGACTGCATACTGCTGCCAGTAGTCGTACGTCGGTCCAGCGACAGCCTCGATCGAGCAGCGGACGTCGTCAGGGAGGCATGCGGTCGCGCACTTGGTGTCGGCAGAGACGTGCGCGACTTGGGGTCCGTTACGCGCGAGCTCGAGGCCGCCAATGGGTGACGACCCTGCGACGTGTGCGAGCCAATCACAGGCGACGGAGACACGACCGAGCGGATCATCGAGTGCTTGACAAAGAGGCCGTGGTTCGGTGCACAGGTAAAGTAGACGCGGCCATTGAGCTCGCCGTTGTTCTTGCCTTCCGGTCGCTCGAGCTCAATGCCCACCCACTGGCCACTGGCAAAGTCCGTCTCGCCCACGAACCGGACAATGCCCGTCTTGTTGGCGCCAAATGTCACGCGCGCGCCTTCGTGGAGCTCCATCGTCGATTGGATACCTTAGAGAGGAACGAACACCCACACCCCGCGACGGTAGTGGATACTTTAGAGCAGATCATCGAACCCCCGTCAAGAGAGTGGATACGTAGCATGCGTGGAGGATCGCCATCCCGTCGCGAGAGTGGATACTTGTGCAAACACTGGTTTGGTCAAGCGTCGAGACCTGGGCGGGATTGTTTTTCGTGTGCGCCACATCGAGCAGGAACAGCCATCGTGAGTGGGTGGGCGTGTGTGCCTGTGGGGTTGTGCTGACGTATGTTGCATCGTGCTGTCGTAAGAGCAGCAAGAGGCTTTGACCGAGCGACGCGGCTGGCCAAAAACCCGCCACGCGCTCTTGTCCCTGCGGTCGTCAATGGTCCGCCCTGCTCTCGGGCCAACTGGCTCGCTGCGGCGAGTCCCACTTGACGCGGTTGTGGCCAATCCGACGGCTGGAAGGCAACAAGGCCACGTCTGTTTGCCATCCTACGCGCGCGCGTCTGGAGCCCTCGGTGCCTTTTTCGCTCTGCTTTGCTCAGACGCGAACGTTCGGGTGTCGCGTTGTCGTCGCTTGCGTCGGAAGTTCTTTAAGCGCAGTTGATCCGCAAGTGCCATTCAGAGTTTTCGCCGCAGCTGCCCATCGAGCACACAGATAGACAGACAGATAGACTGACAGACAGACAGACAGTCACGCCATGAAAGTGCGCAGCATCGTCGAGCAGTTTGAGCGGATGGCGGCCTTAGCCAGTGCGGGCGCTAGCAGCCACTCGATTGGCTCGGCTGAACGGGGCGACGTCCAGGGCCTAGTGACGTACTACGACAGCCTGGCCGACGTCGAGGCCCCGTCTGTGATTGGGACGTCCAAGGGCGTGCGTCCTGATCGGAACCAGCGAATGACAGATGCACGTGACTCAGAGACCGACGAGGTAGAGCTGGAGCGGACCCAGGAAGAGCTGGAGAACAGGTTGAGGAAGAGCAAAAGGAGGAAGAGCAGGAGGAGGCCGAGGGGGGGGGGGGGGGGAAGAGCAATTGGAGGAAGAGCAGGGGGAGGAAGAGCAGGGGCAGGATGACAACAAGCACGAGTTGAGTGACACTTTGGGAGTCAGTCGCGCACCGTTGTCGGCGCCGTCCAGACTCGAGTCGAATCCTGTGACCAAGATCCCGCAGCCCAAATCGCGCGAGCATCATCTGGCGATCTATTCGGTACGGTGCTCGACTCTGAAAGGCGTGTCGCGTACTCGTATGCCTGCCTCGTGCTCGAATGCTGCGACTCAGCCACTGTACGTGCAGCCACCCGCACCTGTGTCCAGTCGAGTGCGCGGTCCTGTCGCGAGCTACGCGGCTTTTGCGGCCCGGATTGAGAACTCACAGTCTCGGCTACTGGAATTCGAAAAGGACGAGCGATGGCTCGTACAAGTCGAGGCCATGAAGGGTCGAGTCGAGGCACTGAAGCGGAAGTCGCACATGGCTTTGGCAAAAGAAGTGGCCAGCAATGCTTCGTCACGGAAGACGAGGAGTTTGAGCGAATGCAGCGGCGTATCTACGGCATCCACTGCGTCCATGTCGTCAATGGATATGCTCGAAGTCAGTTGTGAGTAAGGCGTCACGATCGAGCGATCGTGAACGATCGATTGAACGATCGACCTTACCTAACTTATTAGTGTCGAATGTTGAAGTCATGCGCGTCACTTTGTCGTCAAATGGTATCGGCCTATTCGTTGTTCCCTGAACCCCGTCGTCAATCGTGTGCACTTCCAAATGTCAAAGTTCGCTTCCGAGGGCCAAACGTTGCTATCTTTTCAGCCAATCGAAGCGAGAGCGATAAAACATTCGGAAATTTGTGTCTGCCACACAATCAGAAGTAACTGCTCTAAGTTGCAGAGCAAGAGACGGCGAGAGAGAGACCCGAAGAGAGACCGGAAGAGAGAGAGAGAGAGAGAGAGAGAGAGAGCGCGCGTGGAAGATGCCGACCGACGCTGTGCTGGGAGGCAGTGTGCTGAACGCTGGGCCTTTAGGCGCCGAGTACGTCCGTGTGTGTACATCAAACTGTCTACCACTGCATGAGGCCGCAGGAGACAACTAACCGCACGCACGACCTCTTGCGCTCTGACTTAGTAGGACAACGTATGGGAAGCTGCCACCTTTGAACCCGGAGGACCTGAAGCTGCCGCCGCCACCGCCATCGGCAGCTGGTTGTGTGACAGACACTGCGAACGCCATTTCGTTCCGTGAAGTGTGGGACGAGATCAAAGTCAAGACGCGAGAGATGTACGTCGTTTGGACAGCGTTTCTGCACAGCAGTTGACTAATCTGACTCGTTCGTTATAACGCATGCTGTATCGTGTCAGGATTATGGGCTCGTCCGTATCTGGTGTCATGTCAGCCATGCGCATGGCGAACTTGGTGATGGCCGGCTGCATGATTGCTCTCGCTGTGGGTCAAGTGATTGAGTCGAACTCGGCCTTCTCCGTCATGGCAGATGCTTTCTCGGTCATCTATACCATGTACGATGTCAGGAGTGAACTGCTCTGACGACAAGAGAGACACAGGAAGAGCTTACGTGCATGCTGACTTTTTTGTGGCCTCTAGTTTTTTCGCTCTGCTGTTGGTAGGCTACGAGCTCCGTACTGCCTACATTGACAAGCTGCTGCGAGGTGGCTTTGGTTTCATGTATAGTCCCTGGGGTCGATGTCTCTTTCTGATCATGTACGTTGCTCGTGGTGCAAGTCGTTGTTTTCACTACAGTCGGCCTAAATGTGACGGTGCATGACGGTGTACACAGGATCTCCATTTTTCCGATTGGCATGTGCGGCATCTATGGCGTGCTCGTCTCGCTCACAGGCTTTGCCAACGCGTACTTCAACTACTTTGTGATCACGAAGCACCCGTCGTTCACGCGCGGTGTCCCGGACTACACGCCTCCCGTCCATACCCCTGTAGCCAACCCGACGACGGTCAAGGAAGAAACTGTGAACGTCTAGGCGTTGCGAGGCACTCAATTTGGTCGGGGCCAGGCATTAATCTAGCGTTTTCAGTCGCCCGCATTGGCAGCGTTACCGCATATATATATGTATTTTCATAATTTAGGTGTGGGGCTTAATCTCTATCTATTGCAGATTGCGGAGAATCACGACCGAGCCGCGACTGGACAGTAGTGAGCACAGCCTCACGATCAAGATCACCACCAACATGACCCCGAAGAAAACGCTGTGCGAGCGGATGTGCAAGAAACAAGCCTGCGCCATCCAGGTGTGTTTGCGGCGCCGCGAGTACCAAGAGAGCAAGTGTGCAGCGGTCATCAAGCGATACTACGACTGCTGCGCTGCTGCGACGAAAGCAGAGCAGAGGAGTCTGCAAGATTATGGGCATCCTGTTGGTGCGGACGAGTAAGCACGCCAAGGTCATGGCTCGACCAGTTTGCGAGATGCAGTGTACCGGAGACAGACTGAGTCAATACAAGAAGAAGTACAGATGCAAAAGCATATTGCAAGGGGCAGCATTGTCAGCCCTTCTTGTGTCCACGGGCAACTCTATGTAATGTCAAAAGCTGACAACGCACGCAGCTTTTAGTCCGACAATTGGTGGAGAAACAGTTGGCAACGGGCTACGACGCAGCTCTCGCAGTGACTCCGATCCTTTGTCGGCCACGACTTAGCACTGCCGTGACCACAACCAGCAGTGTGCCTACTTGTGACGAAGGCGAGAGCTGTGAGCTTTTCGCAGCACAATGTGAGTGCGTGTGCTGTCGTGGAGAGCGTCTCGTGATTGCAGATTCGCGTGACAAACCTCTTCCGTATCGTCTGGACGCCAGTTTCATTGCATACATACGGGTTGCCGACCAGTCAGTTTCCTCCTTACGTCGGAGCTATCCCATGTTCGAAAAAGCAGCCACCGACAGGCAGTTGCCGCTGGAAAGTCTATGCGATCGACCGTCTGCTCCACATCACAGCAGTTCCATCTTCCGATGGAGCCATAGAATCGAATCGGAATGACTGATAAGGAAGAGGGCAGGCAGGTCACTGGTGCAGGAGTGGCTTATTCGATCGTACTTCTACATCTCCACGGCATGGTCTGCAGCTATAAAGTAACCACTCAACAAGGCAGTGCTAATGCTACGGGGATGTCCACTACGAAGCCTATGACCAAAGCTGTAAGGGGTGAGCTCATTACGTGCAGGGGGACATAACCATGGACTGCCATTCTGATTATGGTCGAGAATGTAACACACACAAGGGGATAGAACAAAATAAACTGATACTTACGGTGATAAAAAAGCACTGCATAATTGAAGAATGGAAAATCGGACCTGATAATCGAGAGATAAAAATGGACCATATCTTGATAAAATTGCACCACAAGATAGACAAAAACAAAAGATGGATTCGCGATGTATACTATCCGTGCAAGCACATATATACTTACCGAAGAGCGACATGGAGAGATACTAATATTGTTGTTTTATACATTTGCATGCCGTAGAAAAAGATGGACAGAGAGAGCTCACCGACGATTACCAGATGTCGGATAGGCCGTCGAGTACCACCGATCGTGTTCTGCTCACGCATGAAAGTAGACGGCACTTAGTATCGTTCTCGCAGGATACATAGCATCTATCATAAAACATTTGGTATGTTGCGAGCAAGCACCCCCGTCTCGAAGTAGTAGCTTTAGCTGTTCACGGCTCATAGCATGTAGCTGTGGACGCCCGTTGTTGCCCATGTTTCGGTCGCACGATGGACGCTCATTACACGAACAATCGTCTGGTATTCCTTTCATATTGTTCTTGTACCAAACAAAAGCTCGAACTTGATACCTCGCAGACGCAATGCCATATGGGTTTAGTCGACTGCATTCGGAAAGACAAATACATACGGTACAAACTAGTCAGCAACGTTCCTTGATGCAGGTAATCGCGTCTACAAGACCTTTCAAATGTTGTCGATGACAAGTGCGCATCTGTCTTTCAAGTTGCATTCGACGCTTTCCTCCTTGCCGAATGCCTGGTTTGTACTGTTGCCAAATCTAACGAAGTCTATGTCCGGCATGATGATGGTCTTGGCATTCGAAGTCATAGCAAACATCTGCATGAGCACCTGCAATAGCACCAAACATTATGAATAGCTCTATCCATTAAAAAGCATATCTTCATTGTCTGTACGTTGATGTTATGCTGCCTCGGTACATACCGTAAGCATCTATTGTATCACAACGCTTTCTATGAGTCATGCAAACACGGCGCTGTGTCATCCTATTTGTACCGGGGTAGCCCGTTACATGAGATTGTCATTAAAACAATCTGACAATAAAAAATATTACGTCGAATATTCTTTTTACAACTATCACAAGACATGGTGATATTGTTGGGATGACCGAAGGGTCTACTCATTGGTTGATATCGTGATGATATCAACCCACCAATCGCTGCTAGAAGTGCGCAATGAGTGGTGAGTAGACGTCATCATACATTTAGTTATATTAGTATAATTAAGTCAGGACAACAGAGATTCAAGGAGTTATAGGACTTAATTATATTAATACATTTTTACTTTTACCAGAGACTAGTCTGACTACCTAGTCTCCTTTCCTTCCTCTGTGTTTCTTCAACACCTACCAGGGCACTGTCGACCACTGTCGTCAGTGGAAGTATACTCCGTACTGGTCAACCAGTACGTAGTCAACAGTGCCCCGTTACACCTGGTAGCACTTTGTAGTCCGTCCAAGGACCACAACCCCATCGCCCAACATGAAGATGTTGGACCATGTAGACGGCAACAGCTTTCACGGAACCCGTGAGAGCTACTCCTATTCGAGCGACATCGAATGGAGTGCGATCGAACGAATGAGTTCGACCGTTGGCGAGGAAGCCATATGGGCCATGCTATCATCAAGGGATAGGCACCAGCAACATGCCGTCATTAGCAAGTTCTTGCAGCGAGAACTTGATGAGTCGCGAGCGCAGGTGACCTTGTTACAACAACAAGATCACCAGCGGACCGAAGCACTGAGACAACAACAGTCTCAGTCCGCAGAGCCGAAGCGTGAGCGTCGACGGGAGTCTCTAAAACTAGAGGTCTCCAAGTATTGGAGAGTCGAGGAAGACTCCCTGTTGAGGTGGTTCGTCGAGCTGGACGATGCCATCGATGCTCGTCGCATCGCAATGAGCGAATGCAAGTCTCATTCGCTCAGTCTAACTTGGCAGGAGAAGCCAGAGCTTGGGCCCTGAACCTCAAGTTGCACGACCCAAATGTGTTTGGGTCGTTAGATGTCTTCAAGACCCTGCTCAGTGAGACGTTCGAGCCGCCCAGAGCAGAGTTCAGAACACGATCTGAACTCCTCGGAATCAAACAGGGTAAGCGTAAGGCTCACGCTTACGCTCAGCACGTACGCTACCTTGCAAGCTTCATGGTAGTGAACCCTGTGAGTGAGTTTGTGTTGATCACAATCTTCATTCAAGGGCTTTCAGACGGCCCCGTTAGGGACCACCTGTTCCGCGGAGAGCTAAAGACGCTCTCAGAGGCAATCTTCGCAGTGGAGCAAGAAGATTATACTGTGAGGCAGTCTCACGCTACGTTGACCCCGCATCGTCCACAGAGACGATTAGCAGTCGGAGGTCCAGAACCAATGGACCTCTGTCAAGTCGAGGGTGAGAAACCTCGCCCTATGAACGACAAGCGAATGGTGAGATGCCATCGCTGTCGCAAACTGGGACACTATGCATACGAATGCAGTGTCCCCCGCTTAGAACCTCGCGGTGCTGAGCGCAGTATTCACCCACCAGCAAGAAGAACTGGAGAGCGAGGGTCCGTTGCTGTTGCGAAGTCGCAACAGCAAAGTGGACCATAAAAAAACGGTCGGGATCAGTAGGGGCGGAGCGCCCTACTGATCCAGCAACAACAAGAGAATTTGCAAATCTCCTGAAAAAGGTTGCTCCCGACACACAATTTATGTGTGTCTCTGCACCTGGTGATGAGTTTTCTCTCATCACCTTGAAGTTAGAAGTGACAAAAGACTTGTCACTTCGCGCCCTAGTTGACTGTGGGGCGTTGAAAAATTTTGTTCGTCGCCAGTCGCTAGAGGGAAGAAGTTTTAACTTCGTGGAGCGGGAGATCCCTCCAACGAAGATGACGGTGCGCCTAGCGACAGGCGCATCGATCACTGTGAAGAAACGTGTAGTCGGAATCCACTACACGTTAAAAGTCGAACAGTACGATGATGATTTCATCGTGCTTGACCTAGATGACAAGTTCGACGTCATCTTAGGGTTGCCTTGGCTCAGGAGATACGAGCCAAGGGTGAGTTGGCAGTACCGATCGGTCACGATACCTGCTACTTGTTCCTCAGATAATCACGTGACGAATATATTGGAACGCCCACACTCACGTGGGTGTACTTCGAGCGAGTGCGATGGACTCACTTGTAGTACGGTCGTTAGCACGTCTGTACAAGAACACAATGTAGATGATCACTACATTGTGGAGAAAACTCTCCCAGATCCTGTGGAAGTGATTTCCCAGGAGGTAATCGAGACACTGAATGTCTTGGTTAATGATGGATCAAGCGTAGGCGCTTACACGCTTGATCTGGTTGCGGCTCCGAAGTTAACTTCGGAGATAATTCAACTGCCGACGCTAGAACCGAAACGGTTCTTGCGTGATCTGCGTAGTGACAAAGTCAAGCAGATCTGTGTACTCGTCGCGGAGGAAGAGTACGTTACCGATATTCGATCGGCAACGATGTTTACTGAGACCAAAAGGGTTCTCAGCAGTTCATCGATGGACGAAAGTGTCATCGATGAGTAGACTAGGATTGAAAGATATGAATCCCAATACTGGAAGTCGCTTCAGGCAAATCCTTTGTATAAGGATTTGATCGAATTCAAGGACGTGTTCCCTGAATCCGTACCTTGCGAGTTGCCTAAGGATAAAGACACTCGACACGAGATCGAGCTCAAACCGGGCTCGAAATATTGTGTCATGAAGCAGTGGCCATTGCCTCGTGAACAAGTGATAGCAATCGACAAGTTCTTTGCCGATCGCTTAGCAGCGGGCCATGTGAGGGAATCGACATCCCCTCACAGCTCTCCGACCTTCTGTGTGCGAAAGGCACAGGAGGGTGGCGGATAGTGCACGCATTCAACAAGTTGAATTCTGCAACGGTACCGGATCAGACGCCGATACCAAGAAAGAACGTAATCATAGATGGTATGTCAAAGAGTACCATCTTTTCGTCCATGGTCTGATGGACGGATTCTATCAGATCCTTATGCGTGAACGGGATGTTCCGTACACAGCAGTGAGCACCCCCAGAGGTATGCTGTGGGAGTGGCTAGTGATGCCAAAGGGGCTGAGCAATGCCCCTGCAACATTCAACAGATGCGTTACAAATCTGTT